CCTCAGCCTCCCAAAGGCACGGGATTACAGGCTGAGCCACCGAGCCTTGTTAGACTTGTCAATTTTAAGTGACAACCCCACTGGAGACTCGGAAGGTGGGGGGGGGGACAAAAAATCGGGTACAATGTGCATAGGTGGGCGTGGTGGGTACTCTTAAAGCCCAGACTTTGTCACCACTGTAACCATGGGGCATGGCTGTCTGAAGTTTCTTTCTTACTTGCTTTTTTCTTCTCTCTTTGGTTTTTGTTTGTTTGTTTGTTTTTAAGTCAGGGTCTCACCCTGTGACTCAGGCTGGAGTGCAGTGGTACAATCATGGCTTACTGTAGCCTTGACCTCCTGGGCTCAGGTGATCCTCCCACCTCAGCCTCCCAAGTAGTTGGGACTACTGGTGCATACTATGATACCTGGCTAATTTTCTGATTTTTTGTAGACAAGATCTCGCTATGTTACTCAGGCTGGTCTCAAATTCCTGGGCTCACGCAATCGTCTCGCCTTGGCCTCCCAAAGTACTGGGATTACAGTCATGAGCCACTGCACCAGCCGGTCTGCAGAGTTTCATGCGGTCTTCCTCAAGCCATTCTCTCATTCGCTCTCCTTCTTCATGACAAGAATGAGCACAGTCGACCTGACTTTCGGTTCCAGGTACTGGTACCTTTCCGTTTGTTGTTGAGTTTTGAGTGACAACTTAAAGGTGAGAAGTGCAGGTGCACAGGTGCACACAAAAGGAAGGGAGAATGTGCTCCTGGGGCCATATGGGGGACTTCACCCAAGGAGAGGAGGAAAAGGGTTGATTATAAGTGAGGAAGGTGACCTGTGACCGTGGGGCGGGAGTAGGAGGGGCCACAGGTAATAACTGAGGGCTGCAAAGCTGGATGGTTTTTGTTTGTTTTGAGTTCTCACTCTGTTGCCCAGGCTGGAGTGCAGTAGCACAATCATGGTTCACCAGTGTCAGACTCCTGGGTTCAAGTGATCCTCCCACCTCAGACTCCCAAGTAGCTGGGACTATAGGCACATGCCACCACACCTGGGTAACAACAACAACAAAAATTTGTAGTGATGAAGTCTCACTATGTTGCCTAGACTGGTCTTGTACTCCCGGGCTCAAGTGATCCTCCCACCTTGGCTTCCCAAAGTGCTGGAATTATAGACGTGAGCCAGCACACCCAGCATGAGCTGGAGTGCTTAAATTGTGTCTGCAATGAAAGGGAATCCCATGTCATGGTGACAAATGTCATGGAAGAGGGGAGTTGGCTCAATGGAGAGGTGCAGGCCACTTGGGCCTCTATATTTGGAGTAATTTTGAAAGAGGAACCCAGTAAATTTGACCTAAAGATCCATTGATGGATTTCCTTTTTTTTTTGAGTTGGAGTCTCACTCTGTTGCCCAGGCTGGAGTGCAGTGCCATTCTCACAGCCACTGCAGCCTCGACCTGCTGGGCTCAGGCAATCCTTCCACCTCAGCCTTCTAAGTAGCTGGAACTACAGGCACGCGCCACCACACTCAGCTAACTTTTTGGTTTTTATTGTAGAGATGAGGTCTCGCCAAGTGGTCTTGAACCCGTGGGTTCAGGCAATCCTGTCACCTCGGCCTCCCAAAGCGCTGGGATTATAGGCATGAGCCACCACGCCCAGCCGGGTTTTCTTTCTATGGCACTCATACACACACACACACACAGCCACTCTCCAAACCCACAAAGGACGCCTGGATTCTTCCCCCACTATTTTTACATCAATTTTATTCTTACTCGTATTTTTACAGAAAATGGCACAGAAATCACAGGTTTAGAACACCTAGAAGTGATTACAGTTCCGTATTTCAAACACCTCAATATCAAGTCTCTTCCCACTCTATGTACATTATTTACAACCAAGGGCTACAGTCTAACACTTCAAACCAATGGGGACAGAGACGAGAAAAACTGGAGAAGTTCCAGGAATGGAATGAGAAGAAATCAACTTCTGATATGGAATTAAAATCACAGCCCACTGTCTCAGGCCTTTCTCTGGCGAAGTATTCCCTGCAGAGGGGATTAGGGTCAGAGGGAATACCAGGGGGGTGCAGATCTGGTGCCTGCCTGGGAATCAGGGTCCGGTGGGCTCAACAAGGCTATGTGCCCCCATTACCAAGCAAATGGTAGAAGCCAGGGTAAAAGGGAAGCTGCAGAGGCCACGTCCCTTGTGCCACCATCTTCTTCTAGTGGACATGCTTCTGGCATACACCGGCATGGAGATGCGTGCCTGCAGCTTAGCTTGGGGGGGCTCTGGCCTCCTGCCAGCCTTTCCCGACCCCCTGCAGCCTTTCTGGCCAGCCCCAGGCCCACACCAGGCTCAGCTTCTCAGCGACTGCCCGCATCAAGTGGGGGCCAGGCCTGTGGCTTCCTCAGTGCCATCAGACAGCTGGACAGGGCTGCTCCAAGGCAGGGCGCATGCGAACTTATCATTTGTGAGGCGCTCTGGGGAAGGTGCCTTCACTGCAGGTCAAGGTCACAGGCAACCCTAGCAGGAGCCCGAGGGCGCCCCTGGAGGGCTTGGACTCCCCAACAGTGCTAGGGCCACAGCATTTGTGAGAGGCACCTCTCCTGTGGGCACAGGACCGAGACTCCCTGAGGCACTGCACCCCGCCTGTGTAGACGCCTGTGCTGGGAGGACCTGGGGACATCCCGAGGATGACCACGGCAGGGCAGGAGATGAGGGGAGCAAGAGCTTAGGCTGAGACTTCCCAAGTGCCCGCTGACAGGCAGGCAGAGTCTGTGCGTGGCCACAGGATGGCTGCTCACACGGCAGAGCTGGCCCGGGGCTGCAGGACGGGCCGGGCTGGGATGGGGGAGGGCTTCTGCTGAGGCCGCCGGAGCCAGAGTCTGGTCCTCCTTCGGCATCACAGCTGCAGTGTGCTGGCAGCCGTGGGCTTGCAGCCGTGGGTTTTAGGCACGGGTGGAATGGGGCCCACGGGGAGTGAAGAGCTAGGAAGGAGGCTTTTCAGAGCAGAGGACAGAAGGTGAGGGTGGCCGTGGACAGTGAGCGCTGCCAAGGGCTTGAATGAGAGGGGCTTGGGGGTCAGTGTGGGCAGCAAGGAGGCATCGAGGTGGGGCTGCTGGGACGAGGACTTCACAGAGGTCAAGACCAAGTCGGGACACTGCAGCTTGGTCCAGCCAGGCCAGCACCAAGCTGCGCCTGCTGTCGCAGGGCGATGGGGGCTGGGGGAGAGGAAGGACAGCGGAGGCCTGGCCTTGGAGAGCAGCTCCCCGCACCTCAGGCCCCAGGGAAAGCAGAGTCCGGGGGCTCCGGAGTCCGGCACCCCGACCTAAGCCATGTCCTCTAGCTGCGAGGGACTCAGCCTCTCCACCGGCCTGTCCTCGTCCGTGACCTCCTCCTCCGCCGGCCTGTCGGCACCCCGGGCCAGGCTGTCCGGCCCAGACACAGTCCCCAGCACCTTGGTGCTGTGCTCCTGGGCTTTGGCCCGGAGCGCCGCGATGCTATGCTCCCTCAGCTCCTCCTGGGACAGGGCGGCCTGGGCGTCGGGGCCCCGCTCCTCCTGCTCCGCGGTGTCAAGCTTGGGCAGGGCCTGGCGTTCTGCCTCGGGCTTCCTTCCCGACTCCGCTGCCGCCTCCAGCGACTTTTTGTGCATCCCTAAAAAGAATTGTTGGTATTCGGGTTTAGAAAAGCGCCTGGGAAAGCCATCTTGAACTGAAAACAGCAAAGATAGAGAGAGGCCAGAATTAAGGACGAGCAGAAAGCCTTGTTCCCACACCGCAGTCCGCAGTCGCATACCCCAGGGCCTGGGAAGGGCTCTCCATGACAAGCCCCTGGGCACTGGACCCCAGCAGCCTGTTCTGCCCTTTTCAGGCCACAGGATGCTCCCCAGCCCTCCCCTCTGGGACTGCAGCTCTTAGAAGCCCGGAAAAGCTGGTGCTGCTGTCGGACACAGACCCAGGTGGCAGAGGAGGGAGACGGAGAGACTTGGGGGGAAGAAGTCCTTTGGGCCAAAGCCAGAAAGGGGTCCCCGTGACCCCCAGAGGGGCTGTTTAATTTACCACAAGCCCACCTCTGGTCAAGGGGAAAGGGGATACAGACCCTGGGGCCACAGCCACACCCTCTTCACGGGACAAAAGAATCCACAGTTAGGGGCCATCCAGGATAGAGGCCTCAACACCCAGTTGGTGGATACAAGGGGCAGACATCAGGTCCAGGCCCGCCCCGCCCCTCCCTGAGCGTCCCCAGTTTGACGAGGCCTGATCTAAGGGCTCCTCTCCCACCAGGCTGCTGCCGCCCCAGTCCCCTTGCCCAGGGCGCTGTCCCCTCCTCCAGGAAGCCCGCGCTCCTCACCCCAGGGGCAGGCCCCAAGGAGGGTGCGGGCTCTTACCCAGTAGCCACGGGGCACAGGAGTCCATGATGCCGTCCTTGGCAGACTTGAGGATGGACTCGGGCAGGGGAATGGAGTGACGCACCATGGCGCCGTAGAGCCCGTACTCGGCCATGACGCTGCTCCGGCCCCAGCACTTCTCCCGCTTCCTCCACTTGGCTCTGCGGTTTTGGAACCAGACCTGCAGGGGCAGAGGTGGGTGAGGGGCTGCTCGGGGAGGCATCGCCCGAGGCCCTGCACTATCTGTCTGGAGGGAAGGTCTCTCCCGGCAGGACATCCTCACCAAAGCTTGCCCATACTGCGGTGCTGGGGTTGCCCCAGGCTGCGTGGTGGGGGGGTTATTCAGAAGGAGGATGTCAATCCTGTGAGGATGCCGTGGAATGCCTCCTGGACAGGTCTGGCAAGTGGGGTGCCCGGGTGGGCCTTGGTTTGCAGCTAAGAGACCTGGCTTGATCCTGGCAGCTTGGCACCTGTTCACACTTCCAGCACACACATCTCTTTTCTAATTTGCAGAGGGGCATATTTCTTTTCAAGGACTGGACTGGCTGTGTCTCTGGTCCAGGGCTTTCTCTCCTCCTGGAGCCCAGAGCCAGACAATCCAGGAAGGCTGCAGGAGTGAGGGCAGTGGATGATAGTCTGAGGGCATTTCATGCAGGCATGCTCCCTCACTCCCCGGGGGCCTGAGTCAGCCTTCTTTTCCTGTCCAGGCTCTCTAGGCATCTGCTTCAGGGTTCTGGGCCTCTCTAAGTAGCCTCTGACCCGTCTTTGCATCTGATATCTGGGGGAGCCTTGCAGCTCTCCAGGGGTCAGGAGCACAGGGGAGTGGGGACTTAGGCGAGTGTGGCAGGCACCCTAGGGATGCTGGTACAAGGTCTTAAGAAGAATGAGGTACCCTGGGATGTCTGGAGATTCCAGAATCCCTGCCACTTTTGGGGAGGGAAGGTTCTTTGGTCTTTCAAAGAAGCTCCCCCAGGACTTCAGCAGCCGGCGCTTGGGGCCCAGAGCCCCGGGCAGCGTCCCTCACCGGGGTCCTTCCTCACCCCAGCGCCCCAGGGAAGTGTGTGTGGGGGGTGAGAACAGGGGCCCGCAGGAGATCCAATTTCATTTCCTCCGGGGTCCAGGCCGCCCCCTCCTCTTCCCCTTCTTCCTTCCCTCTTCCCCCCTTCTCCCCTCCTCCCTCTTTTTCCGCTGCCTCCC